AAGTTGTATCTTATATGCTATATATTATATATCAGGTAAATTCTAAATGAAACTAGCTTTTATATCAAACAGAAAAAAAAACCTTGTCCTAAACAAAACTTATTTCCTCCCACTTAAGCTACACCTCCAGGCCAATTGATCCAACTTTTTCTTTTTGGGGGGCAGGGGGATTGCATTCAGGGATTCACACTTACAAAACAGGTGCTCTCCTACTTGAGTCACTCATCCAGTCCATTTTGCTCTAATAATTTTGGAGATGGAGCTCTTGAGAACTATTTGCCCAGGCTGGTCTCAAACCAAGATTTCCCCAATCTCTGCCTCACAGATAGCTAGGATTATAGCTTGAGCCACTAGCACCCTGCATTATGGATTTTTTGTGTTAATTTTTGCTTTTTAAAAATATTGTGACCAGATACCAGTGGCTCGTGCATGCTTTGCAAGTATGAAGCCTTGAGTTCAAACCCTGATCCCACCAAAAAATAAAAAAATTAAAGTATTGTGTTTGGAGCTAGGGGTATGGTTCAGTGGTAGAGCACTTGCCTAGCAAGTGTAAGACCCCAAGTTCAAACCCTAGTTCTGAAAAAAATCATATCTAGAATATATACTTATAGCACAACAATTAAAAGACAAAGAATTCAACTTAAAAATGTGCAAAGGGGCCAGATACGGTGGCTCACATCTGTAATCCTAAACTTGGGAGGCAGAGATCAGGAGGATTGTGGTTCGTCCATCTCAACCAACAGTTGGTTGTGATGGTGTGTGCCTTCATCCCAGCTATACAGGAAAGCACAAGTAAGAGAATCATGACCTAGATCGGCCCAGGCATAATTTGAGAACCTATCTCAAAAATAACCACTGCAAACAGGTCTGGGGTTATGGCTCAAGTGGTAGAGTACTTGCCTAGCAATCACAAGGCCCTGAATTCAAACTCCAGCACCACATACACACATACACACACAGACACAGAAAATGTGCGAAGGACTTGAATAGGACTTCTCCAAATATATACAAATGACCAATAAACATATGAAGAGAAGTTGCTCAATCTCCTTAACCACCATGGAAATGCATAACAAAAGCAAGTGAGATGTCACTTCACATTCTACAGGACAGCTATAATCAAAAAGACAGTTACAAGTGAGAAATAAGAATAGAAAAATAAGAACTCTCATATGCTGCTAGTGGGAACATAAATATTGTAGCCAGTTTGGCAGTTCATCAAAAACTTAAACCAAGGGTTACCCTATGACCAACAATTTCACTTGAGAAATAAAACACATGTCTACACAAACACTTGTATAAGCACATTCATAACAATATTATTTATAAGAGCCAAACAATGGAAACGACCCAAATGTCCATCCACTTATTAAGATAAAATGTAAAGAACAGGGCATGGTGGCACATGCCTGTAATCCTACCACTCTGGAGGTGGAGGCAGGAAGGTTGTGAGTTTGAGACCAACCTGGGCTACATAGCAAGACCCTGTCTCAAAAAGTCAAAAGAAACAAAACAAAAATGATGCTATATTTAAGTCAGTCATAAAAAAGAATGAAGTACTGATACTCCCATCAGTGTTGATGAACCCTGAAAATATTATACTGAGTTAAAGAAGCTAGACATAAAGGGTCACGTATCATGTGATTCTCTGTGTGTGAGATGTCTAGAGCAGGCAAATTCATAGGGACATAAATATTAATGGCAGGCTGGAGATGTAGCTCAATGGTAAAGTTCTCATATAGCAATCACAAGACCCTGGGTTCCATCTGCTCAGCACTGAGAATATAAAGAAAAAAAAGGTTAAAAAAAAAGTAGTGGTTAGGGATTGGGAGGAATGGAATGAGTAGTGACGGATTAACAGGTATGGATATCCTTTTTGGGGTAATGATATGTTCTAGAATTAGGTAGTGTTATAATGATTACACGACTTTTGTGTATATACTAAAACCCATGGGATTATACACTTTAAAAGGATAAATTGCATAATATGTAAACTATATCTCAATTTTTTAAATTGTATTTAAAAAAAACAGAAGTCATGGTTTATTATTCCTCAAAATTAACTGGGCAATTTTTCCTGCTTTGTGTTGTAATAAGGATTACTCACGTGAGTTCTTTCAACTGACTGCTGGGCTGGGATAGATAGTTCAAAAAGCCTTCCTTTATATGGGTAGAACATTGGTGCTGGCTGTCAGCTGGGACACCTTGGTTCTCCTCTCTCTATCTCTCTCTCTCTCTCTCTCAGCAGGACAGCCTGGGCTTCTTTCAGCCTGGTGGCTGAGTTCCAAGAACAGGAAAATGGAAGCTGCCATGCTGTTTAAGGTCTAGTACCAGAAGTGGCCCTCATTGCTTCTACTGCAATGAGTAGTTGGAGTGAGTAACAAGACTTCCTCTTATGCAGGAAGAGAGGAAGCTGATTCTACCTCTTTTTTCAACCCCCAACTTTATTGATAAATTAAAATTGCATTTATTTAGGGGATACAATGGTTACCACAGTCAGGTTCACAAAGCTACTATTTTACATGTGTGATGAGAATACTTGAGAGCGCCTTTGCAAATATCAAGTGTACAGTACATTATTGTCAACTATAGTCACTGTGCTGTATGTTGAGTTCAATTCCATCTCTTGATTGGAGGAGCAGCAGTCCATATACGGATAGCAGGATTATTAACAACCATCCCTGGAGACAGTCTTCCGCATCCTGCTTGAGGGGCTGTGAATGGATAGTGGTACCATCATTGGTGGAAGGTAAAGCAACTCACCACAGTTGGTTGCAGAACACAATCCCATTGATTTTTTTTTTCCCCTTTCACTGATGTCAAACTGACCGTACTTTTTTTTTTTTTTTTTAATTTTTGGTGGTACTAGGGTTTGAACTCAGGGCTTCACATTTGCAGGGAAGGCACTTTACTACTTGAGCCACACCTCTAACTCTCAAACTGAGTGTAAATGGAGGGAAGGCTACCAATATTGAAATGTGAGAGATGAGACCCAAAATGATACAGGAAAATTCTAGAACTTAGAATGTAGTGGTTAAGACAATAGCTGCTTCCTGGTTCTGTGACTTGATAAAGTGAGTTAACACCTGTGCCTCAGTTTTGTCTGTGAACTAGGAGCAGATATGTGACCATGAGCAGATATGTGACCATGTATGAAAAAGTGAAAAGTGCTGACATCTAGGCTGTGAAGGAGGATGACACAATAAGAAACAGGTCTGCTAAACACAATTCCCAACTGGACATAAGCACCAACAGAATACGAACAAAATTCAGATTCTGTTTTGAGGAAGACAGAAATGAGACCCTCAACTTAAAATATGAGGGCGTATCCCCTTCTTGTAACATGGATGATCCTGCCTCTACTGATGACAGTCTGGTTTGTCTTAATCCTTCACCTCCTAAACAGAAACTGACATCCAATCACTGGATCCTCTGTTTCCTGAGGAATCCAATCCAAAACTGGTGCTCCTTACATGAGTGTGTTGAGTTCAACAAAATTCAATACACTCTACTTATTTATGATTTGTGCACTTTCCTACAAGTACATTAACTTGAATAACAAAAGTAAAAAAGAGCTGGAGGCATGGCTCAAGTGGTAGATCGCCTGCCTGGCAAACCTGAAGTCCAGAGTTCAAATCCCAGTACCATGGAGGGGTGGGAGTGTGTGTGAAGGAAAAAAAAACCAGGTTACCATGTCAAAGGGATACAAGAACAAATCTGACAAAAATTTACCAATTAACAAAGGTATGATAATTTGAGGGGAAAATCACTGCATTATTTGAATATAACCAAAGCATAAGTATCACGGAGTCCATATTGATATAAATATGTGACTGAGTAGCTATAGAGAGAGAAGCAGTAAATCTTCCTTGGAGATCATTTTGTACATCCTACTGCAGGAGGTAGTGCCCAAACACTGATCTCCTCTCGTGGAGTGTGCGCTGCACTTTAGGATTTGCTTCCAAGTATAGTGTCCAGCTGGGTGTAGTGGTACAAGACTGTAATACCAGCACTCAGGAGGCTGAGGCAGGAAGGTTTAGAGGGCGAAATTGTCTCGAAACCAAAATCAAATCCCCCAAAGAGCAGTGTGGAAAGGAACGGGGTAGGTAAGTTTACAGTGGACAAACCTGGCAAACTACCTTGGAGAGGATCAAGGTTAACTTAATCAGTGATGTCATTTTGTAGCCTGTACCCTTCATCTGATGTGATGAGCACGGCCAATCACCTGTGTAGGCTTCCTTCTAAAACCCATAACCTCAGTCTAAGCAGGAGAAAAACACTGCACAAACCCAAATTGAGAAATTCTCCAAAAAAATTTGACCAGTACTTTTAAAAACTGTCAAGATCATCGAAAACAAGTCACAGTTAAAAACAGCCTAAGAAGATATGACGAATAAATGCAATACTGGGATCCTGGAAGAGAAAAAGAACGTTGACCGATAAAATCCAAATGAAATGTGGAGTAAATAGTGATACACCAAACTGGTTTCTTAGAAGTGACTTAATTTAAATGTAGACGTCACAATAAGGGAAACTAGATAAGAATACAGGAACTCACTGAATCATCTTCGCAGCTTTTCTACACATTTAAAACTATTCTGAAACGATTCTAAAATTTGTTTTCTTGAAACGCGGAACTGTAGCAGCGACTCCCTCACAGGGTTGTGGGAAATTGGTGAGATAGTACAAGCAAAGTGAAGGCTCAGAGCTTGCCACATAAACCTTACGTGAGGGTACCGTGATTTTGACAAAATGAAAACGTTGCCGTTTTACCGAGGTCCAGCAAGAAGCAGGGCACCGAATCCCCCCGGCCCAGCCAGCACCAGTCCACAGACAAAAGCCAGCGCACGCGCGCACTTCCGGGGCGGGGCGCGCCGGGGCGGGGCGCGCCGGCGCTGGGCGGGGCCAAGCGTAGTTCCCACGCCAAGCGGCTCTCGCAGATGACCCCGCCCCGGAAGTCGTGTGCCACAGGACGCCGGGAGTGGACGGGGTGTTGGGGAGAGGGCGGAAGCTGTGTATGGCCGGGACTGTGGCGCTGCCTGGGCGGGGATGCTGTTCCTGTTGCTAGACGACAAGCACTAGCTCTCGTCACTTCCTTCGCCCGCGTCTGCCCACTCCCCAGGCCGGAACAAGGAGACCCGGAGCCCTGGTGAGCTCAAGAGTTGTCCGCCGAGGTCCAGCACTGCACCCAGCCCGGCGGCGGGAGTCGGGGCCACGCCACCTGCAGGGAAGAACCCGAGCGGAGGCGGGAAGATGGCTGCAGACAAGCCTGCAGGTGGGGCGCGCCTCGCGAGGGTAGCGGGACGCGCGGTGGGCAGTCCCTGCGCGCGGGGGCGTTAGGGCCCCGCGTGGGGACGTCAGGGCGACTTAGCTTTGGACAAGCATTTCTCCCCCGCGCCCTCCTCTCCCGTGGCTCCCCAAGTGCAGCGTGTAGCCACCTCCGACCGCCTTTGCCTGCTTTTCCAGAAACTCTGGCCTAAAAAGCTTAAATTATTCTTGACGCCTCACCGACTCTTGGATTTCCCGGGGCGGAGAGGCAGGCCCAGGGGAGGTCGCCCGGTGCGCAGGCTGGAACCCACCTGGACTTTCTACCCACTTGAGGTCAGCGTCGCCTGTGGAATTAACTTTGTCAAAATCTATTTAAACAGGCATGAAGTTTCAGTGTCTTCCTCTTGTCCTTCAAGATTAACTACATAACATCCATGATTTTCTTTACTGTTTTTTTGTCCTATTCCTAGACTCTTCTCCATTAAGGAATATAAAATTCTCACCAACCCAATACTGGGAGGTCTGGCGTATGTTTCCTGCAGGGAATTAATACCCTCTGTGGCATTCAGGTTTTATGGCAGGAACTTGTGACAGGGCTTAGAAGTGGTCTGTAACTGATAAATGAGCCATTAGAGGGTTAGATTAGAGAATCTCTTCCCTATCTGTTAAGAAAACAGAAAAAAAGAGAAAGTGAGGATAATAGAGTGCTATGTCATTTTAGTTGGGTGGTTAGAGAAGGTCTCTAGGTAGGTGACAATTTGAGCAGAGATCTGAATGAAGTGAAGGAATGAACCATTTGAAATAGGGAGTGGGTGGAAACAAGCATGGCCTATCAAAGACTGGGCAAGGAGCCCAACATCTCCTTAATTTAAGATAGTTCCTCTGTCCCCAAGTTTGCAATTCCTCCCTGTTCATACCTGGAATCCGTTTTTTAAACCTACAGCGCATCCAGTTTTCAGGTCCTACCTCAGCAAAGCCTTCCTCTGCTTGTTTATTCATTCACGGGGTTTGACAGCAGGCACTGCCTTAGGTGTTGAAGAAATGAATGTGACAAACCACTGCCTTTGAAAGTTTGATTGAGTCTGTCAGAGGAGACAGACCGGTCTATCATAGTTACACTCCCATTGGGTAAGAGCAGTGTAATATGTATAGTTGGAGAATAAGGTCCAGAGCGACTAGGGGACTTTCTTTGATTGGTTTAAGTTTATAGACCACCTTGTAGGAATCTGTTCCCACAACTGTTTCCAGCTGATTTTTCTCTATCAACCTACCAGGCTCTTCACATCAAAATGACTCTTGTAAAGTACTGTGTTCTTTTGAGCTTCTGAGTAATACCCATCTTTTCTCAATCTGACGAATGAACGTTCTCCTCATTCAACATCTACCTGCTGCTTCTTCTCTAAGCTCCTGAAGTCAGGGTCCTTGTCACAGGGGGTCTTAATGTGTTTATTCTTCATTACGTAAGAAGAGGGCAGTAAAAGGATTTAAGAAGGTAAGTGACCTGATCTTAATGGCTGTGGTAGAGGATGGACTTAAGGAAAACTGGAAGCCCAGAGACCACAAGTCCAGCTAATATTGTAATATTACTTTATTCAGTAAATACTCATCAACAACCTGCTTTGCCAGCCACTTTAGGCACTGGCTGGGAAACAAGACAAAGTCTCTGTCTTTATTATGTAGTATGAAAGACAAACTTGTAAACAAAATAAAAAATTAGTGTTTTCAAGTTGTGATAAATACTCTGAAGGAAAGAAATATGCATGTTTACAGTTTAGATATGGTTTGAGTGTGTCTCTCAAAGGTTTATGTATTGAAAGCTCTGTGTTCCAGTTGTGTGTATTAAGTACTGATGGAGGGACCAGGAAGTGTAGGTCAGTGGTAGAGTGTGTATTTAGAATGCACAAGCTGCTGGGCTCAATCCTAGCAACAAAAAACCAAATGACTATGGAACATTTGAGAGGTAGAGCTGGTGGGAGGTGATGGGGTATTGTGGGTGCTGCCTTTGGAAGGGATTAAGTTTGCTCTCAGGGCTGGGGGCATGGCATAAGTGGTAGAGCTCCTGCTTTGCAAGAGTGAAACCCTGAGTTCAAACCCCAGTCTTATCAACCCCCTCCAAAAAAAAAAAAAGATTGCTCTCATGGGCCCCTGCTCTTGTTCTTGTTCTCATGAGAGCAAATTATAAAACAACAAGCGTGACCCCTGCCTTCCTGCTTTGCTTTGTGAGCTCCCTCACCCATGTAACTCCTGCCATGATCCGTTTTCCATGTAACACAGCCAAGTGGGTGCTCACCAGGGCTGAAAATATGCTGCTTGATCTTGGACTTCTAACCTCTCAAACTGTGACCTAAGCCAGGCATGGTGGATACATCTGTAATCCCAGCACTGGAAAGGCTGAGACAGGAGGATTGTGAGTTTGAGGCCAGCCTGGAGTGTGTGTCCAAAAAATTTATAAAACACACAGCCTTGGGTATTTTGTTACAGCAATGGAAAAATGGATTAATACAGTAAGAGGATAACAAAAGAAAGGACTCTGTTTCAGATGGATTGGTTAGAGAAGGACTTTCTTAGAGGAGACATTTGAACAGAAACCCTAAAGATATGGAATCAGCCATGTGGGAGAAAAATGATCCAGATAGTAGGAACAACAGATGTGCAGAATGTTGGTTGAAAAATGTTTAAAGAACATCAAGAAGCTCTCTTGAATATAACTCCATAAGGACTGGACTTGTGTCTATATTAGCCATGCCATAACTCCAACCTAGAACAGTGTCTGGCATGTAGGAGGCACCCACTATTTTTAGGAGAGGAAGTAAGGGTAGCATGACAAAAGATGAAGTCAAAGTTATGGTAGGAGCTGTTATATGTTGGACTTTATTGGTCGTGGGTGAAGTTTAAATTCATTCTGAGTAATAGGAAGCCAACCAGGCATCTTCAACAAGGCCATGATGGTTTGATCTGATTTTTGTTTTAACTGTGCCAGGTAAGAAATTATGGCAAGTTGGAAGCATGGGGTTTCAAACCTGACAACTAAGGTTCATTCTGCTGAATCACTTGGTATTTATGTGACCTTGGGCAGATTTTAAGCCTCTTCCCCATCCCCCCCCCAAAAAAATGTACTGGGCAATAATGGCTCATGCCTACAATCCTACCTACTTGGGAGACTGAGCTCAGGAGGCTCATGGTTTGAGGCCAGCCCAGGCAAATACTTTGTGAGACCCTATCTCGAAAAAATGCCCAACACAAAAAAGGGCTGGCAGAGTGGTTCTCTGCCTAGCAAGCTTGAGGCCTTGAGTTCAAATCCCCCCAAAAGAATAAATTTTTTTAAAAAATAGACCAAAGTGGATCAGAGGTGTGGTTCAAGCAGTAGAGTGCCTGTTTTATGAGCGCAAAGGCCTGAATTCAAATCCCAGTCCCACCACAAAGAACAAAACAAAAATACTGGGGCTTAAACTCAGGGCCACATGCTTACTAGACAGGTACTTTATCACTTGAGCCACATCCCCAGTCCTTTTTGCTTTTAGTTTTCAGATAGGGTCTCATGCTTTTTGCCCTGGTTGGCCTCTGGCTTCCATCTATCTGCCCATCTTCCCGTTCAAAATAGCTGGAATTATAGAAGTGTATCACCATGCCTAGCTTGTTTTGGGGACTTTTTTTGCCCAGGCTGGCCTCGAACCTGGTTGTCCTGACTCCACCTCCTGAGTAGCAGGGATCACAAGTTAGCACATGCCAAGCCAAGAAGCCTTTTTTTTTTTTTTTTCAATACTGGGGCTTGAACTCAGGGCCTCACGCTTGCTGGGCAGGCACTCTACCACTTGAGCCACTCTGCCAGCCCCTAAGAAGCCTTCGTAAGCCTCAGCTTTCCCATGTGTAGGATGATAGTAGTGTCCGTCTTACCGAGGTGATAAATGAGACAGTCTCAGGCCCTGTTTTTTCAAAATGCTAACTAATATTTTAGGGTAGTGGTAGAATGGGCAAGGAAAGGCAGATGTAAAGGAGTTCTTAGATTAAAATTGTCAGACTTTAGTGACTGAAAGAAAGCCATGCTCCTTGGGAGAGGATCTTAGTTGAGCCCAGTTTCTTCATTTGTAAAATGTGAATCCTTATAGTTTTCTAATTTATTAACCCACAAGGCTTATGAGAATCGGCCGGTAAGTGTGTGTGTTAGCTTATGTCCTCTGGCAAGCCTAACTGAATTTTTACTTAAAAGGTGCAAGTCCACCAGATTGAAAGTGAGGGAGAGAAGGAAGTAAAACCAGTACATTACATTCCTGGCTACTTTGAGCTGTGAAGAGCCAATGGCAAGTCACTTGTGTTTTTTTTCTGCATCTTTACCCACTCCCCCACGACCTATGGAGGACTTTGAAAGTGACTCATAGAAGAGGGAAAGGATGATTTATCTGTCCAGCTTCTCCTGTTTCCTCTTTCCAGTTGGTTAAGTCACCCACAGGGAACTAATTTACTTGTGCTTCTGGGTGATGTCTCAGGGATGGGTGAGCCAGCAGTTCCCACACCCTGTGTTGCATTTCAACCAAATCCGAAAGGAAGAGGTATCCTACAGTGAAGGGGCACCAACCAAAGATAAAGATTGAAAGAGGAAGTAGAAGGTTCACAAGGTTTGTGTCCCTTTATAACATGGAAGAGTGGTGTGAAACTAATAATCTTGTTTGTTGAGTTAGGGTTTTGATAAGTAGCCTATGGTGACCTTGAACTCACAGTCTGCCTGCCGCAGTCTTCCAAGTGCTGAGATTATAAGCCACCACTTCTGGCTTGCTCACAGTTTGGGAGGCTAGAAGTTTAAGATCAAACAGCCATATTTTCAGTCTCTGGTGAGGGCCTCCCTGGCTGTGTTACATGTGGATGGCATGGTGGCCGGAGTGCATGTGTGAGAAAGCCCACATGGCAAAATAGGAAGCCAGAGAGCAGGTGGGAGGGTCAGGTAACTTGCTATAGTGAGAGCAACCAAGGGCCCGTGAGAGCAAACAAATCAGGATGATCGAGTCTTGTAGC